AACCCGTTCACTAAGACTCCGCTGTCTGTCTGTCTGTCATTCTGCCACCTGGCTGTATATCTTGAACCGTGATAGTCAGACAGTTGAAATTTTCACAGATAATGTATTTCTGTTGCCAACAAATACAAAAAAATAGAATAAAAAATATTTAATTTGGGCTCCCATACAATAGACTCATTTTTCCATTTTTTTAGATAATGGTATGGAACCTTTCGTACACGAGTACGACTCCCACTTGGCCTTTTTTAATTTTTTTTCTCAATCTGTTTTATGTAACGAAGGTCATGCGATTTCCACAGCCATTGTAACGTTATACTTGAAATTGGACAAAACATCAGAAAAGCCGCTTTTTGCAATATGGCGGCCATTAAAGAAACATTTTTTCGTCTTCAATATGGCGGTCACTGAGCAAAAAGCAAAAAGATTTATGAAATCACGGGATCTATTAAGCTGGAATGAGTATATTAAAAACAAAATAGTGGTTATTTTAAAATGTGCTTTAATAATTTAAGAGATGTTTTAAGAAAATCTTCACCGTTTCATGACTATATTGTATCAAATCGGGGCGAAGAAAAGCGTATTATTTATACAACTTGAAGTAAGTTAGAACGTTAGAAATAAAACTTTCGCATTAGTACCAACTTTAGATGAGTTTGCATTTTCATTCTGTAGGCTACGTAAAGCTTCGTCGGGTTCAGAGTTTGTGGAAAAGAAACGTTTGTATTCAACTTGGAAACAAACTTTAGTAAATGTCAAGACAGGTAATTGAAATTGCTTTTTCGAATTCATAAAAGCGTTTGGTAGAGTTCATTTTAGTAAAGTTTTAAAAGTTTTGTGATAAAGAGTGTTTTGTTACGGTAAAATTCCGTTCAAATCCATTCGGGCTTGAAAAAGGTACTTTTTTTTTTCTTTCTTCTATTAAAAATATTGCCCTTACTGTAGGTTAAGATTATCCTGTGTTGTAAGATCGTTTTTATACATAAACTTCACGTAGACAAACACTCAGATCCAAAACAATTATCTATGGGTCACACAAACACCGTGTGGGAATCGAATCCACTACACCCTTTTCCAAAGTCAATTCCATAGCAATTCCACCACGGAGTCGTCAAAGAAAATGTAAGTAAAATACTTACATTTATTCTATAAGTAAATATGTTACATACATTAGTCAAATGATAAAATTCCATTCAAAGTAAAACAGTGAGCGATTAAAGACTAAAAATGTATCGCAGATTCTAAAATCAGCACCTTTGAGTATCGCTTAGAACTTTTCTACGCAAGATAAAAACTTAAAGATGGCTGTTAAATCAGTGGAAAACTTGCCAGTATTTTTATAAAGTTATAATTGTTAAAAAAAAATGTTATTATATATAAAATTATTGTTGTTTATCTTATGTGAGTGTACGTATGTACAATTCTCCAACCAGGCGTCGTCTGGGCAGGGGGTATAACTCATCTGTGACGCCCAAGAATCATTGCGGGAAGTGTTGGCGCGGCTATCAGGGAAAGCCAGATATCTCGGATTGTTCTGCCCTGACCCCGGGGCAGTACACGCGCGATAAAGTTATCTTCGTGAGACCCCGAGGAAGACGAAATCACGCGTCAAACAAATGGTTCCTCATTAGGCCGATCGATAGTTTTTTAAAATGGAGACTGGACTCAAATGGGCCCGGATGGCCTGATCCGAAGATACCAATCCAATGTACGCATTAAACTGCTAGCTTCGATATATCCTGCGACTTTGATTGCGCGGTCTTCGATCATCGGTGACGGTATATCGGTGACCTGTTCCTCAGGAACTGACCGGTTTTACCCTTCGGCCAATAAGCGGAAGATGATGTCGTTCCGTTACTGCGTGAAAAAAGGACAAATAATTGTGTCTATAACATTAGCAGAGATGGAAGGGAAAGTTATCACATCAAGATGATTCGTTGTGTAGTTTTAAAGATCTTAGCATACCTAGGGACAGACAGACAGCGGGATGACTTTGTTTTATACTGTATAGTGAAGAAACTAAGTAGAAATCGTATGACATTGTAATACCAGACTACCAGCGACCCGCCCCGGCTTGCACGGGTACAATTTAGATAATAATGTGGGCCAGTGGGGAGCGATTAATAATGAATTAAGATTATGACTAGTCTAGGCTATCTTTATATACAATATTTACAACTGTTTTTCATAAGGCAGTGCAAACATCTTTTCTTTAGAACGGTTACGCTCGTAAGCGTTTTCTCTACTACAATATGCATGTATAAACCTTCCTCTTGAATCACTCTATCTATTGCTGAAAACTGCATTAAAATCCGTTGCTTAGTTTAAAAGATCTGAGACTTTGTCAGAGATCAGATTCACTTTGTGAAATTGTGAAAGGTATATGGCATAGCTATTTTATACTACTGTAGAGCCACACAGCGGCCTCTGCAATTATCTAGATTCTAGTCTGTCCTGTAGAAGTATTTTTGTCTGCCGTATACAGCAAATCCTTTTGAGTTTAATGGTATCTATAACCGCACTTGTGGCCTCTGGATGGAGGTGATAATCGTCAGCTTGTTCAGTCACCATTTTTACTTTAAAAATTTCATCGGGGCCGAAGCACGTGATGGCTATATCGTATGGATGAAAACAAACCCGTTTTTAGTCCCATAAGGGGGGGCCGATGAGACCAAGGCGCCGAGTGTATTCCCAGACGCCTTTTATGCCTCTTTTCTAAGTACTAAGTGCTAGGGTTCCGTCTATTGTGAACGGCCGCCTTACAAAGTCCATTCGCAATTATCCGTTATACACCGTGCTGTTCGTTCAAAGAACATGATCATTCAACGTCGGAGCTGTGTTCGGGAATAAAGGACATTCGGGTAAATCCTACGTAAGGGTAGACGAGGTGGAAAAATTAAAAATACTTCTTTATTTTGTTTCTCTGTGAACGAGAAAAAAATCGACACGGTACGAAGAGAAATTGTCAATGTTTCCGTTGTTGTTACTTACAAGTTGGGTTAAAACGAATGCACAATAGTCATTTTCTAAAGGACGGTAAAGCGCAATGTCAGACACTATTTTAATTTTATCAAAATAATCCTCACACACGATTTAAACGAAATCACTCCATTATAAAACTTTATAATAATAATTAAATATACATTATAAAATTAATTGAAAAAGGAAAAATGCAGGACTTCAACGAATCATTAGTATACTTCTAAAGCATCTATACTCATGACCAGGATGCGACATATGTAAGGTATGGCCATTAACTAGCTCAAATTAACAATTTTTCGATAGAATCTTATATAAAAATTGAGAGCCCTTTAAATTTTGTACACAACAAATAACAATTTATGAGTGCGATCGCGAGCTATGCTATTAGATTCCGCTATGTTGTACTTTCCACCCTATACTACAAGGAAGCCGTAAGTACGATGACCGCCTGCCCTACTACTAACTGGGTCAGGTCCAAGAATCGATTTCCAACAGTACACTTGGACGCGACTATAAAATTATCTCTTCTCCAAATATAAACATGTTGTATTTCTAAGATGACATCTCGCGAAACGATCCACCCATAACTGCCATATGCGTTCAGTCATAATTACGTTTCCCACTATACAATCAGGGTAATTAGTGACAAGTAATATATAGTATTATTATTAAAGAAGAAACTATTACACTTTGACGTTTATTTCTAGGTAAACTAATGTAATACTAATTTCTGTTTAGTTTCGAAGACCTTTAAAGGGGACGCGAAATAGCTTTTGTTATATAATGAGGCAGGCTCATCGGGCGTAGTACAGTGCCTTGCGGAAGCCCAGCGTAAGTATGTTTACGTTTTTGTGTTCTCTGATAAGTGAGGCAACGGGGGCGCACTCTATTAAAGGTTGGCAACGTAACAACCCACGGGTATTATGGGTGTCCATATTAATTAGTAAACAGATGCTTAATGACGGGAATCGAATTGGCATCTGAACAGGGCTTAGAATCGCGGCGACGTATACTTGGTTATCGTATTTTATCCACATGATTTGTTATTTAAAATTATTATTGCCTCATCTGGGTTTAATATGGTCAAGTTTTTGGGAGTTAAAAGTTTTGTGAAGGCTGTATATATCCTTTCCGGAACTAAACGAATATGGTTCTTAAAATGCGTCGTCCACTTTAATATCGGGCTACGTCGACGACTTAGCCACACAATCTAATCCTATTGTGCGAGCCTAATCCAGTATAAGTAGGTCTTCACGAGACCACGCTGAGCTGTAGAGCGAGTCAGTTTCCGTACATAAATCACTGCGGAATAATGTACCATGTTTATCTTTTTTTCTTCTATTTCCTACTGTAAACTTTGGTGCACATTGTGGCGTGAAGCTTTATATAGGTATATAACTATTTGTGGCTGTTTCTTCCCTGGGTTTTGAACTAAAATTTGTTTAACATATTCCAATGCATAACCGTGATAGCTCATTGTCAATAGGATATAAATAGGCTGTTAATTTACTTTTTTTTAATCCAATGCGTTGTGAATTGAATTTATTTAATTCAGTAGATTTTTTTTTTTTTGGTACATTTATTAATTACGAATACAACACGTGAATTATTCCCTAGTGCGGGAGTCATTGAAGTGATCGACATTGGATTCTCTTGACACCAACTCATATTATGACAACCTCACATAGTTTAATGTAATAACGAAAGAATTAAAAGTTACACAGATGTCTGAATAATGCTAAGATGTTACGTTACGGTGCCAAGGGATTGGCCGTTATCCCGCTGAGACTTCAACATGCTTTAGATTTCGTTTGGCGATGCTTTACTTTTACGCATAAATGTCGACTTTTCACATTTATGCCCGATGAAAGCGGCTGGCTATTTATCAACATCCTTAGGGCCTAAATAAAGCCCGCTCCGACCAGATTCCGGCCTATTAGTGACAGAGAGGTTGAGTAGCCGTGGGCAACCAATTTCGGCCATGACTAGCTCATCAGCTCCTAACAGGCGCTGATGCGAAAATGGCATTTATAACCAATCTTGGCGGTACACTCTTGCACAGAGAGGGGGCTGGAGTATGCCGCCTAAATACTTACATCTGGGGGCGGCCGGTGGACGGGCCTTTAGGGTATAAGTAGGCGCGTGAATAAACGACATAAATTCCGGACCTCTGTGAAATCTGTTTATTGTTATGTCGATTTCGAATAAGTTTTTAATGTTTTGGGAGATATGATAATATGTTCAAATTCGCACATGGTTCCTGTCGAACTTTTAAGCACTAAGAACTATCCTTTAATAAATTTTATTAAAAAATAAAAGATGCTTAGTGAAATACGGTACAACATTTTCTAAATTGTTTAATGATTGAAATTCGAAATATATCCCAGCCAGCATGCGCTTTGCTTCTTTATATTTTAAAAGGTTCTTCGCTTTAAATTGATAAAAATTACAACTAATGCACATTAATAACATTATTATTTTTTTAATTAATTCTTCGATCTAAAATGAAGATATAGGGATTGAATCCACTTTTCATTATGGAAATATCGCTACATGTAATCGATAATGACGTGACGTAACGCCTTATCAAGGTTACGTCAAACGGTCTCCGCGATGTCATCAGACATTTAAATGAATGCGAAACGTTAATAAGTTGTGAATAAATTTGGCACACTCCCCCGCTCCCGCCTTTTTCTATTAGCCCACTGGCCTCATTTTTTATCTTTATTCTGCATGGTGTTATTTACATTGGTTTTTTTCTACCAGAGAAATTCGCGTTGCGCCATAATTGCCATCATATAATATGATGAGATAACCTTAGGCCTAAGAAAGGCCTTTGGTCTTCTAGCTACTAGGAGATGAGAAGGTGGCTTCCAATGGACATTCACAACACCTGGGAAGCCAGCTGCGTTGACAACCTCTAACAGGTTGGGCCCGGTTATAATTCGAACGGGTTTCATTCTAATCATGTCGCAAAGGCTAAACTAAAACAATTCATAAATTTCTGAACCATCACTTATGGCCAGTTCTTTTATGTATGAAAATATTATAAATCAAGTGAAGTGGAGGTGTTATACTTATGCTTTTCGCATGGTGTATGAGGGAGCCGGGGCCCATTCCATAAAAAGGTTGTAACGCATCTGCAATCCTACGTGTGTCGCAAATGTCCATGGGCGGCGGTTATCATTTGACATCACAACACTAAATATTACTGCATTAGGTGTCTAACTTACAAGTAAGATAGAAACTCTTTAATCATCAAAATACAAAAATATTATTTCAGAAAAAATATAATGAAATTTGAGCCATAAAAACAACATTTTTAATCTTTAAAAATCCGCTCAATCATTTACTGAACTGGACGAAAACGTCTTTCAATTTAACGATAATAATAACGATAATCTAGCTAGACTAATCTGAGATGATTTCTTCGTCAGGTCTCCAAAGAACAAAGCTGATGGGGAGGAATGCGAGCCGGAAGTCAAAACCGAGCCGCCCGTCGAAGACTCGGACAAAGATGGCGGCGCTCTCGAAGCGAAAATGTCGCTTCTCAACGGCATCACCGTCATAGTTGGCTCCATTATCGGCAGCGGGATTTTCGTGTCACCCACGGGAGTATTGAAGTACACAGGCTCAGTTAATGCCAGCCTTCTGGTGTGGATTGCTTCGGGTGTCTTCAGTATGGTAAATTTAATTTCCCATTAGCTTTCAACTGTTGCATACTTACCGGCCTCGTTTTAATCTTCGTAATAAATAATTGTTTCTACGGCGTTGAGTATACTCTAATCGATTATATTCTATTTCGTACAATGGCTGTGACATGAATGAATGAATACTTTATTGTCTACCACACATAAAAGGATACACAAAATTAACAATAGACGAACGAATTTATGGAATGCACAATCCAGGCAACCAATGCCCTAAGGCCTAAAGGAACGTTTACTACGTAGGTGGTGCAATAGTAACATATCTTATCCTTTATACGAGCAATTCTTGTATATATATATATATATATATATATAATATATACAATCGGAATCTCAGAAACGGCTCCAGCGATTTTCATGAAATTTAGTATGTGCGTCGATTCGGGGGCGAAAAATCAATCTAGCTAGGTTTCATTTTTAGAAAATGTCCTTTTATCCCTGTTTTCAGGGAATGAAAAATATAATTCGAATATGACGGTAAATTTCGCCGCAAGAGAAAATGTCATAATAGCTCGGTCAGTAATTGAGCGGCCCCAAAACAGACGGCCGTGGTTCGCGTCACGATCATTTACACATTTATTTTTTTACTTTTTTTTCATTCCAGATCATTGCTTTCTTTATTTTTAATTTTTTGTCGATTTGTTTTTTTTTAATTTTTTTTTTTTTTTTTTTTTTTTAAAGTTCTTTCTTTTGAGAAAAACATCAGTTAATATTTTCTTATTATTAAGTCGGTAAGATCGAAAAATATTATGCATATTTTCATTACTCAGTAATTTGTATCTAAATTAAATTTCCAAAATACACGATTTACCAAAAAAAAAAAAAACAAACCGAGCAAAGCTCGGTCCTCCGGGTACTAATATAATATATGACTAAATACATACATGTATACACATACACACTCATAAATGCATACTTATATACAAACTAGTGATGTTCCGGATATCCGCATCCGTATCCGCGGATATCCGTTGGAAAAAAAGATCCGTATCCGCTACATTTGTGACGGATCTTTACCCATATAATCGTAACTAAATGATAATTCTAATTAAATAAATTAATAAACTGTGACACTCAAAACGTTTCCATTACAGTGACAATTGAAACAATGGACCGTAAATTTTACTTTAAAAAGATTGAACATTAAAATATGTAGAAAATTTTCGTTTCCATTACAAGTGACAATTGAAACAATGGACCGTCAGTGTGGCAATAGCCGTTTTAGCTCAGTGGCTAGAGCTTAGAGCGTCAGGCCGCGAATGTAAATTTTACTTTAAAAAAGAGTAACTTGGCAACTTTATCCCTCAAAAGTCATGATAAAAGATAAATATGTGCGAGCAATTTGGCTGACACCTTAACTGTTACTGTTAATCTGATAATACTCTCTACGTGGATCTTGGTCTCTTAATAATCGGGTTACGGTGGTAGGGCGAACAGTGTTCGCTGTTGCACGAATGGGCAGGTCCGTCCGGGTTAGTACCACGACCTCACAAAAGACCGGCGTGAAGTAAGAAGCGTTGCACTTCTGCGTTTCGTCTGGTGAGGTAGCTGGGGCCCACTTTATAAAGAGGTAGCAACGCATCTGCAACCCTACAGGTCCATGGGCAGGCGGTTATCACGTAACATCAGGTGAACCGCCAGCTCGTTTGCCACTTTCTCACATAAAAAAAAAATATTTTTTCTAACGTATGGTGTATGAGCAAATTAGTTTTCGTATCTTTTTTTTTTAATTTATTGGGACATAAAACAGTTATACATTAACAATAATATTTTGTTATAATATTTTGTTTTCAGATTGCTCATCATTATCATCACTATCTAACATGTTAGCCATAGACTCGTCTAGACTCTGGCAAAAAATCATTGGTTTGTCCTTAGTACTTAGGTATTGCAGTTTTTGTGAGATTTACTTCATTTTTCCAAAGTTGTAAGAAATTGTTTTTATTCCTTTAATAATTATAATCATACCCGTGGGTTTAAAAATGTGGCCACTTGAAACAATTTTTTTTATCAATTTCTGAAAAACGAAAATCTAATTCATCCATTGAATCAGACACAAAATCAAGGATGGTGAGGTAGATACACTAATATTGAGATTTTCCTGGACATTAAGTAAAGATCCGTATCCGTATCCGTATCCGCGGATTTTGACGCCAATAATCCGTATCCGGATCCGTATCCGCGGATCTACAATTTTAATGATCCGGCACATCACTAATACATACATACATAAACGTATACATAGATTTAATTTGACATGGAAGAGGAACGAACATTCTTGTATAACAGATAAGTTTAGTAATACTTATAGTATTACGAAACGAACATAATTAGTTTTTATAACTAAATGTTAAAATAAAAATGACTTCTTAAAACATCATATCATATAAGTTAAATCTAAAAATGTAAAGGAAGACATTGACTCTGGCGTGGTCATTAAAAATTACTCTGATAATTATTATGTCTTTATAGATGGAAAAAAGGTTAACCTCTTAACGTTATATGGAAGTGTCAAGTGAAGTAATTTTTTTTTATGCGAAAAGTTGTCAAACTGCAGGCGGTTCACCTGATGTTAAGTGAATACCGCCGCCCATGGACATCTGCCACACTCGAGGGTTACAAATGCGTTGACAACCTTTTGAAAATTGGGCTCCGGCTACCTCACTCACCAGACGAAACGCGAAAGTATTTGTGATACTTCTACTTTACGCTGGTCTTCTGTGAGCTCATGGTACTTGCCCGGACGGGCCTGCCCATTCGTGCAACAGCCGAGGCTGCTGCGTGGCCTAAGTAAAGGCTTGAAAAAACTGAAAAGATGATGACGGTGATGCAAATATCTAATGTGTTGTTAATCAGCTTTTTGGTGATACCTAAAACAATTCCACTCAGTATAATCAGAATCAGCGGAAAGTTTCCTGTACAACTACTCATAACGAACAAACAAAGAAACATATTCACATTGATTACAAAAAAAAAAAAACAAGTGTTGCTTACAAATTTTGTTAATTTCTAGTTAAACTTATATAACCGTGTTGACCCTCAACGCGCGACGATAAGATAATGGTGAGACATGACATGTCTGAGATGACTTTTTAGTATCAAGACGAAATCATCACATTTATTTGAGCCGATGTCCAAATTTCTCCTCTCTCTTCAAATGCCTCGTAAACTCTTCATGTGATATAGAAGTTTCAAGTGCAGTAAATTTTAGATAACTGACGTTATCCTTACATAGTTTTTAACCGTACTCTCGGCAAAGATATCGATACTGCGCGTAACCTATGAAGGTCAAATCGTTCAAAAGTTTGACG